AGTATATAATCAATGTGTACTCCCTGTACTTAGTTACGGATCCCAGACCTGAACATTGACAAAATCAAATATGGATAAGGTAACAAAATCTCAAAGATCTATGGAAAGACAAATGCTACATGTAAGGCTGGCAGATAGAAAAAGGAATGAGTGGATCAGAGGAAAATCTAAAGTAAGGGATGTTAGAAGTGAAGTAGCAAAACTGAAATGGAAGTTTGCCGGTCACAATGTCAGACAAAAGAATGATCGATGGAACAAATGCATCGTGAACTGGAGGCCCTGGGAGAATAGAAGAAGTAGAGGAAGACCTCAGATGAGATGGGCGAACGATCTGAGGAAACATGCAGGCACAAGATGGATGAGTACGGCGACAGAGAGGGAAGAATGGAAGAGATTGGGGGAGGCCTATGTCCAACGATGGACCGAAGAGGCTGTATAGCTAGATAATTTTTTGGTACAATTTGCTGTTATTACATACTATTAATTGTAAACTGAGTTGGGGAAGAATAATGACTTAGCTAATATAACAATGTTCCAGTTTTTTCTTTGTAAATATTATTTTCCGTGTAGAACTGAAACAGGAAAAAGTAACTGTAATATCCTGAGGTTATCCCCAAAACCTTTTTTGGATTAACTATATTTACATTTGCATTACATTAGGGGTAGTTCGCTGATTTCATCAGAGAACATTAACAACAAATTGATTTAGGAAAAAATTTACCTAAAATGCGAAAAATGCACAAAAAATTTCCACCCGGGCATCTCTGATACAGTCCGACCTTGATACTTTGAACAGAGTGTAGGCAACCTATCGGTACGTAGGCAACCTTTTGATGGATATCATTAAGTTTTCCCAAGTACTCGAGATTTTTATCCTAGGCAAATATACCAAAGGCAGTTGCCGGAAGGAAGAATCAATTTGTTTATTTAAATAAATAAAGCTGCCAACTAAAACACCAAATTATCACTATACCAAAACACTTTACATAAATATGACAACACGGTTGAGTTTCGTCTATCTTTCTGTCATTTGGCATCAGTGGCTTGATGTTATTTTATCAAAAATTGATTGGGATTGCTTCAGACCAATTTTCCATTATAACTAGTTTTGTCTGATGTCTAACTGAGGGTAACTAATTTCACAATCGAAAGCGCCAACGTATAAGAAAATATACGTATTTTTGTAATAATCTACTTATAACTAAAAGTATATAGATACGCATGTAAGCATGGCTAAAGGTAAAAAAACGTAATGACACTTACCGTCGAAATATCAATTCCGGGTTAGAATAGTCCACCTTTTACAAACACACCTTTTTTACACTGGCGAACCATCGTATATAGTTAAAAACTACTTTAAATAGTTTTCTTTGCAATAAATACTAATAATTATTAGAAAGTTGTTCAAAAGCTACAAAAACTCACAACCACGCGCTGTCAAATATAAGTTGAATGAAAACGTCAAATGTCAGCGTAATTCCTACAGATTTCAACAATTTCTTAGTAAAGATTAAACCGCAGCGATGCCGCTAGTTGTCATTGTAATTTCCCTAATAATAATTTAATAAAACTAAAAATAATTTCAAAGGTATAATCCTGGCACTTAAAGTTATATACCTATACAAATATTTAGTTTAACGTTTTTATAGGTACCCAAAAAACATTAATAACAATAATAACATTTGGAACTCGAACCGTATTCTATCACATACCGCGTAAATCTGTCATCATCGATTTTTGCGGAACACGGTTCGTGATCGCGATAAAATGTAAATTGTTTTGTCTCCCTTTATTTAGATGTCTTTAGAAACTGTCCTCATACATAGGTTTATAGTTTAATACATTCAAAACATGCCACATTTATATCGTTCAAAACTGAAGAGAGTTAGTTTAACGGGTCCCCACCCGTAGGTCTCTGGTTGCGGAGATCGACGCTAAGGTTGAAGATCTGGTACAAATATCTTTAGATCATAAGTTATTCCATTTATTGTTTCTGGTTGCTCTTTTGCGGGCTAAGATATTCGTCCATGCTCACAAACCACAAACATTGGCACGAAGGAACAGTAAACGATTTTATTTAGATTACTTTTAAACTGAAATTATTTACAGCATATATAGATTCCATTAAATACATACACATGTTATAATATATTATCTTTGTCAGATCAAATTAATGAGGAAAAGCTTTAGAACAGAATTACAACAAGAAAACAAAATAATATGATTTAGTTAACATTAGTTAAATAATGAGGAAACATTTACTTTACCTTTAATAACATTCTTTGTCACAAAACTCAAGAACGAAAATAATATCAATGCGTCTCGAATAACAGAATAGGTAGTCTAAAAGCTATTATTTAACAACTATTATCTCTGTTCGTCGCCTGATTTCCCTCTCCCTAATTTGTGAATAATATTTTAACAATCAGTAATTTTATTTATGTATACAGAGTGCCTTAAAACTAAATATTTTGAATTTAAAGAAATATGTCTATTTAAATAGGCGGTTCATCTCAGTAAATTAACTAATAAATTATACTGTAAAAAAATACATTTGTAAAAAAAATTAACGTTCGATTCAACATTAATTTATGATATCCAAAACACCTCAAAGTAATAGAAATACTCAATTATAGGGCTTCCTAACGGCAAAGGCGACAATAGAGTATAATTTGGTTGTATAGTTTTGGCTAGAAGGGACACTACAAAGGGGCGACTGCAGGACGATACTAATAATTAGGACTTAAACGAGGATTAGGCGGACCCAGATTTGTAATTTTGTCGGAAATAGGAAAAGGAGAGGGTAATTGTTTTAGTTCATGCTAATGAGCGCGAATAATTAGTAGAGGGTCATTTAGGAGAAGATAAAATGTGGATCTGACGTTGTAATTAAATATCTAACAAGGTAACTAAGAACTGTGGGTGGCGCCATTCTAAATAGAGCTTTACATAAGAAAAGCCAGTATCTGAGGCGGTTTTACAGAGATTAGTTCTGAGGATCAATACCAAAGAAGTAAAACAAATTTGCCAAACCCTGAATAATAGAAAATCGCCTGGTCCAGGTAAAATTTCTCCAGAATTACTCAAGTACGGCACGGATAAATTATATAAGCAGCTCGCTACTCTTTTCCAAAAGTGCCTTAATAGTGAAAATATACCGAAAGAATAGAAGACATTATATTATATAACAACAATACACAAGAAAGTCGATTGCGATAACGATAAAGACGATTGCGATAACTATCGAGGAATCTCCGTGCTGAGCTCTGTTTCAAGGGTCTATGGAAAATTGGTCAAAAAGAGAATTCAAAAAGGAAGAATACCCGGATATGGAGGCTGAAGAACAAGCGGGATTTAGAGCTGCTAGATCCACAGTCGACCATTTATTTACACTGACACAGATAATTGAGAAAAAGATGGTAAGAAATCAAGAAATACATTTCCTCTACGTAGACCTCAAGAAAGCCTATGATAGCGTACCCCAGTCTAAATTGTGGGAAGCCCTCGATAAAACGAATATCAGCATAACATTAATTAAGGATGTCCAAGAACTTTATAAGAACAACACTAGCCAAGTAAAGAAAGGACAAACAGTATCAAAGGGATTCAGCATAAACAAAGATCTTAAACAGGACTGATTGCTGTCTATCGCCGACACTGTTTAAAATCTATTTGGAACAAGCTCTGAAAACGTGGAAAAGGAAATTCGAACTGATGGGGATACCATTAAACGACTCGATACTTTACATTCTTTGTTTCGCTGATGATCAAATAATACTGGATCAAGACTACGAGGACCTGAAATATATGACCCGCAAACTAATTGAAGAGTATAACAAGTGGGGGCTGGAGGTAAACCTTAAGAAGACGGAATATATGTGTATCGGCAGCGAACAAGAGAACTTAATCCTAGAACAACAACAGCAAAAGATAAAACACTGCCAAAAATATAAATATCTTGGCATGCACATTACCAACGATGGTAGCCTTGATGAAGAAATTAAGTGCAGAAACAACTAGGGAAGACAAGCAATTAGATAACTCAACAGTATTTTATGGGATAAAGCCGTATCAAAACAAAACAAACACAAAATTTATAACAGCATTATTAGTTATGATAGTGAAATATGGCCTTTGAAAGAAAAAAAACCTTAAGTTACTCGAAGCTACAGAAATGGACTTTTGGGGGTGCGCGGCCGGGAAATCGAAACTGGATAGAGTAAGAAATGAAAGAATTCAGAACATCATGAGCGTTACACACAGAATATCAGAAGACAACAAAATTAACCAACTGATGTGGTACAGGCACGTACAAAGAATTGAAGAGAGTAGAATCCCGAAGAAAATACTCAATTGGACAGTTTGGACACCACAAGGCAAATAAGAGAGGGAGACCTAGACGGAAGTGGAGAGAAAAAATAGACGGGGACATCAGAACAAGAGGAATAGACGAAAACCTCTGGACAGGCAGAGACCAATGGAGACTGGAAATCAGAAAACGGCGAAGAACGTTATGAACTGATTTGTATATGGTATATAGTTCTTCATCTCCGATATCAGTTGTACCAAAGATTATGGCACGAATGGTTATCGCCTCGGCGCACTCAGTGATGAGGTGTTCTGGCATTTTCCCATTTTTCCCATAGAGTCTGCATTCGTCGTTGTTTCTGAGCTTTAAACTACTTAGGTGTTCATTGAGAAGACATTGTCCTGCTAAAAAAAACACTATCCGGATTGTTCTTACTTAAATCAAGAAAAATATTGATTTTTCTTTGTCATAAGTTCGTTAACAATCCTAATTTGTATATTTTTATCCAGCTTTATCCATAAAGTTAAATTATAATTTAAGAGTAATATTATATTTTCTGATTTTGTCCAATATTTTTGGTTTTCATAATTCTCTAGTAATAATGCCACTCACATTTACTTTAATTTCTTTTAACATATAATTTTATAAATTATAATATAATTTAATTTTAATATTGTGTTTAATTTTTCAGGGTTCCTCAATGCGAACACAGACCCATACGCCAAGAACCCCTCAAACTATGGCCTAATGGACCAAATAGCTGCCTTGCACTGGATTCAAGAGAACATAGCATTTTTCGGTGGAGATCCTACTAATGTGACGCTACTGGGCCACGGGACTGGGGCAGCGTGCGTCAATTTTTTGTTAACATCCAGTGCAGTCCCAGAAGGTGAGTTAATTGTAATTATTGATTTATATTTTATTCTCAGAATAATTGTAAATGATAATAAGGTGAATATTGTATCAATTTTTATACAGATTGTACTGGGGGGGAGGAACTCTAATCACTGCGACATTATAGATCTGTTGTGTCCCCCTTTTCTGAGCTATAACTCATCATACCATTTCTGGGGGACCCTGTATAATATGGTAAATGAAAACATTATTTCTAACATATTCTCTGCCCTACCTGAATTGTTTCCTTCCAAACCCAAAAAGAACAAAGAAGCTGTTAATTAACCCTAATAAATTCCGGCTCATTTGTATTGGGATAGAGCAGCTTAATGAATAGTATTTCGGTCGGGGACAATTTGAGGGCGTGAATAGGAATTTCCCAACTTGGCATTAGGGAAACCTTCGTTCGGGACTACTGGTAATTGTTCCAATTTAATGTAATTTGTGGCGATAACACCTTAATTTGTTGCTCTAAATATAAATCTGTGTTATTAAATTTAGGTTAATCTTATTGATATATAATTTATTTTTATATACGTAAAACTGCAAGAAAGCTATTTCCACTTTGCTACAGGGTGAGTGCCAGTATTTCCAGGGCTGGTAGATCTCGATAAACGAAACTAATTTCCCCGTTTTTCAAAAATCCAAAATAATTGAGTCCAAATAACCGAGTTACTCGAGTTTGAAAATTAAAAAAAAAATTGTTTTTAAAAAATTTTAAGAGCCGCCTTTTTTCTCTGTATTTGCATCCCTTTTAGTGCCGTAACCATAGAGTAAAGCCGTAACCATCAAAGAATATAAAATTATACCGTGGGAAAATTTGCGGTGAACAACATGAAGTCAGTTCTAAAAAGTTTTATAAAATATACAGGATGTAACGTTTTAATAAAACGATACGATTGGCAACCCAACATACACCCTACCGAATTAGTTCTGACTAATTTTGGACACTATGTTGATCGTACTTGCCCTTGTCAGCGCAGAACTAGAGCATCTTTTTGACTATCGGAAGTCACCATTTATGATTCAGATTTCGTGGCTTAAACATCGACATACTTATCTGAAGTCATCCGACAAAGTTTCAACCTTTTTACCTTATTAACCTTTGGAATGTAGTCCTAATGGTTCCTGGCATTTGTGGAAGGAATCAATTTTAAGTTTTCATGGGTATTTTTGTGGTAAGTTTGATCTTCATCATATTTTTATTCTTTTGGTTCAACCTTATCTCTTTACAGATTTTCTAAACGTAGTTTTGGTTGTCCTGTCATGAGTTTAATTTTTGAGTAAACCCTCAGCATCGTGAGGTAAGTTCTAAAATTTCTAAAATGCATTTTGTGCATAAGTTGTGCCGTTTCCAGGGTTTTACCGTCCAATTACATGGCGAGTTATATGTCGTGATTGGTGGTTTGAGGTACGAGAGCCTGTATCTATGATCCATGTTTGATTTCCACATGGCTGGTGGTATTGTAAGGGGCTGTTCGAGGCTGTGGTAGATTGGGGATGAGCTCCCACACCTAGCGTCCACACACCATCCAGAAGGACGAGCCAAAGCCTGGAATTGCACCGGATAATCAGGCCAGATTTCACATTTTTTTTTAATAACTCATTTCAAATCTATTTACTTACTGTTGACGAATTAAGTAATTAATTATGTAATTATTAGATATCATTTTTGAATTTCACCATTAAAATATAATTTTCTTAATTTTAAATATACAAATTTTTATATATTTTAATATCTTGTCAAGTATTTTGTGATGGTGTCACTTGACATATTTATTTAATTAACTTTTGAGTGATTTACGGAATTATGTGCGCATACAACAAGGTTCATGAACTGCGTTAGTTTGAGGTATTTATTTAACTTTATTTTGTGTAATTTAATATTAATATGTCAATGATTTTTAATCAACAGAACAAGTGATACTATTTTTTTATGTCATACATTTAAATTTTGATTACTTATTATTCTTAAGTATTAATTCATTTTAAAAACCTAACTTCATTCATCAATTACTGTCCTTGTCTAATATTTTTATAATTATAAATAAATTTAAGTTGGGGTAAAGAAATCTATTATTTCTGAGTGAATGTCTTGGCGCCCAATAATTATTGTTTTATTGATCAATTATAACACCTAATAAAAAAATAAAAAGAAACGAACCTACGACTGCTCGCAAAGACGAAAAGCTGCCGTTTGCATTGTGTCAAGAAAACGTTACAAGGAAAATTAAAAAAAATGCACGATTTTCAACAGCTTCTTTTACAAAAAAATGATAGATGTGTTCCTGGAGTCGAAGTATACAAGCAATAAAAATATTTGCATTTATTTAAGACTCACCCTGTATATAACAATGCCTTAAAAATTAAAAACAAATAGTAATAATATATTAAAAAACATAAAACTTTTAGAAAACTAGTTTTGCTGAAAAACACATTTTATATAACGGAGTCTGTGAGACTGCCTGTCATTAATGCTAGAGAAAGTAGTGTCGATATACAATATAATCGAAAAAAAGGCGTCAGCGATGTTGTCTTGCGAAGGAAACCTCATAGGCGTGTTCCTGGGGTCGAAATCCACCTCAAAAATATTTGCACTTTTTTAAGACTAATCCTGTATATTTTTGCATTCAATTCTTGTAATGTTGGTGGCTCTCAATTTTTTTTAAGTAAATAATGTTTATTTAAATTTTGAAACTTGAATAACTGAATTATTTTGGACCTATTTGAAAAACAGTAAAGTTAAAATATGGTTATTTTGTCGAGATCTGTCAGCCCTGAAAATATTTGCACTTATTTAAGACTCACTCTGTATATGCTCGCTTTTTGATTGATTTTTTATTTACCTACCTGCTCACGTCCGAACATTTTTTGTTATTCAAAGAACATATCTGTTTAGATATTCTCCGCAAGTTCGGCAAACCGATTCCCTTAAGACTTAGTTAAGGAATTCTAACCTTCAAACAGCAACGCTTGCGTTATTTATACAGGACGGCCTACTTTTATTTAACCACTATCACGAAAAATGTGTATTTCTCCATCTAATCGAAATTCGCAATAACGAAAATAAAGGAATGTCTTGGTTAGAAACGCAACTTTTTGTTCTTTTTTATTAAACTAACTTCAAACTATTATTTCAACTGTTTTTTGAAAAAGACTAATAATAGAATTGAATGATGTTAACAATAAATGTCATTTAAACAGAACGAAATTTTTGTGGTCCATCTATTATCTGTCCCTCTTGCCAGGTGACCTGCCCATTGCAACTTGAGGGATTTGATTCTGTGGATGGCATCTATACCTGGGTATTTTGTCGTATCCACTCTATTCTTTTACGGTCTCTCTTGATTATTCCCAGCATATTTCGTTCCATTGAGCGTTGTGCGACCTGCAGTTTGCTTATAACCCACCAAGCAGAAAACCTCACATTACATTTGCAACATTGCAGTCAATCCCCAAACAGTTTGCTTTGTAATGTTAATTTCTAAACGTTGTGTCGTGATTGATGAAACCTTGCTACAGAAACATTGTTTTTGAATGGTGATTAAAACGTTTTTTCTGCAACATCGCAACAAAGATTCAAATGAAAAATCCACTCAAGTTAATAATAATTAATAATATAACAAATATACCATAAGATCGAAGAAAACGGCGTCTAGTTGGCTTGGAAATGAATATCCATGACATTCCCCATATAATTTTACATATAAAATGACAGCGATTTTCTTTTCATAGCCATCGCTGACGCTTTTTTTTATCATACGGTATAAGTTAGAAGTTAGGTTAGGTTAACGCACTTGTTTTTTTAAGTTTTTAGTATTACGCTTTTCGAATGAGATTTTAATGAATGAATGTAAGTATAATTTGATTATCATGTGCGTTTTAATAATGCTTAGCCATGAATAAGTATAACAAATTTTGTTTAGTTTGTTTATAAGCTAAATTTTGTTTTAGATTAGCTTTTAGCCAACTGAAAATTGAAGGAGATAAAACAGGATACGAGTATATCAATCTAATGATAAAATCACAAATAAAATATTCAGTATTAATTATTCTCAATAATATTTTTTTAATGATGTTTTAATCATTTGAGATTTTTAAAATAAGGACATAAAGGGGCCTCAAAGATTACTGTCACAAGAGAGAGGTAAATTACTCATTATTTTATATATATTTATTACAACTGATTGTTTTTATTTTTACTACTTTAGAAATGATTGGATATAGATTCAAAACTTTGCCGGAAGAGGAATTTGAAACCTTGAATAAGACAATTCAACATGCGAAGATAAAATATGAAAGATCCAATAAATCAATTAAAATATAAGTTTGCCTTTCCTTGTACATATATTTAATGTTATACTTTCCTTTTGTATTTTTGAATAAGAAATATATAATAATGTTTATACTGTACCTATATATTTTGTATTATTTTGAGACATTCAACTTTAAGATTTTTTTAGAAATTCGACTCAGAGGTGGGAGTTGTGTAATTCCTTATTTAATGAGCAGCCGAAAAGATTAGTAAGTTCTCAGTACTTGACAGTATTTTTGATATTTTTGAAACAAGTAAGTGATAAATTTCTAATTTTTATTTCTTTTTTTCAATTTGACAAATTCGACTTTCTTGGTAGGGATATATTTATACCGAGCATTTTTAATTTTTCTAAGTCAATGGATATAGAGATATGCATATTTTTATCAATATTGTTTGTTTTTCGTCAATACAATATTAGTAAAAGTATCTTAAACCTATCTGAAAGTCTACAATATAATATAAATTAATGTTTCTGTTAATTGTAATCTATTACTAATGTATTATTGTTAATATAAAATTGCTAATGAAATGGTTTTTTTATTGCAAACATTATCTATTTTTTGCTATATTATTTTAGCGATATGTCAGTTAATAAGTTATAACAAAATAGAAAGTTTAATGGATAATAAGTTGTGAAACATAGGTACAATATAATTTTGCCAATATTGTATTGACGT